GTATTACCAAAACTCACAGTCGTTCGTATATATATATAATAAGCACGAGCAGCATATCCATGTGTAGCATAGCAAAGATTCAGCGAACCATTTAGAACACCATGGCTATTAGTATTACCGCTACATTATCAATAATAAAAATATATATTAATATCATGAGTACGCCCTAATTATTATTCTCCATATTTGAATATAGTGATCGTAATAACAATGAAAAGCTGATTTATTTGAATAATCTCTAGGGACAGAAGGTCAAAATTACCATCTACATAGACGACAAAGCCCACCCAATGCATTTTATCCTCGTATAAATCAACCATACGAGGGTCTCACGCACGCTGAACTGGATGCACAAATTGAACTAAAGAGCATTATCTGTTGTTTATTTTGCCAACTGCTTTTTTCATCATAATCTTTTCAATAGCATCCAAAATCAAGCTTGTTTTTTTTATAACATCACTCTTCATTCATTTTCAGGGGCAGCTATAACAACAGCTGTTCTCACTTCCGCTTTAGCAGCTTTTCGCACACTTCGAATGCTTCGCTATCAACAACCGCCAGGCGATATCAGATACATCAAACCGACAGCCTCTTCGTGAAGGCCAAAGAGGCCCCAACAACAGATACCGCGTGCAGAAAGAACTAGCATGACTGTCAATAAAAGAACATTAATCCCGAAAAATTCCGAGCCGACTAAGCAGCGATTATGCCACTGTAGAGCCAGACGCGTCCACAGTACTTTATGCATAGACGTTGGACGGGTCCACGTGTGTGCTTGTGAATCGAAACTGCAATGATCAAAGAAATACGCGGCAAACGCCTCATTCCAGATGTGTTGCATGAGAACACCAGGGCGATGAGGGTAAAAAAATGGGAACTGTCACACTGTTCTACTTCTACATGAAATCGAAAATAAAGAAGGGAAATCATTCCTGGACGAAACCCGAAGCGCAACAAATAATATCATAAGCTGTTGACGATGTTTATCAACGCATTTCTTGGACTGCGTGCCAGAACGAAAACTACATATCTAGTAGTTAGTACCAGCGAAACGGTGAGACACAACAACAGGCCCTTATCGTAAGCTCGTAATGCTCAACGGCGTGCGCGATCGGCGACCGTTGCCATCGACAATCGAACGCTGACTGGGGGGACTTGATAACACATTCAACAACGATTTAATACGACAATGAAGACCGTGACGGGTCGGGTTAAACGCGTCAAAAATGAGTTCTTCTTCATCATCCCTATGCACACGGCATAGCGGCGAATGCAAATATTATTGCTTTAACTCAATCAGCCGAAAGATGATTTGCTTACAGTTGACGATCGTGCGAATATTTCAACCTGGCGAACGTAAAGGGGGATGGTGCCAATGACGCTAATCGGTTGAACAGAACGCTGCCGTTGATTTAGTGCGCGCTCGGGCTGGGGCTCAAACGTCACTTTGAACTAAGTTTATTTAAAAGAAAAATTTAACAATTGGCAAAAATCACACAGTTTTCTTTCTCTATAGATTAGATCGTTTGAAGTCTAAAGCAGCGTTTGGTCCGTAGCTCATATGTATAATTAGTATTGTGTATCTGTTATTAATCTGCGTTAAAACTAACTAGGGTAATTCGTGTGATGGAGAAGATTGTTCGTTATTGGCGAATTGGTAATTCAATTATTTTTTTTTTCTTTTTAACGTTTTTGTAAGTGAATTTTTGGTTGTTCATGTAGAATTTTACATTGTGTTTGTTTTCCTGTATTGAGGACGCCAATGCTTTAGGCAATGACTGAGGAATTCTTATTAGGCCAACAGAGATAAATCTATATGGATCTAGTGTTTATGTAGATCGAAAAGGCTTTTTATTTAAAATCCAATTTACAAATTGGATAAATAAAATAGGTAACACAAATAAGCCAATTGCGTACATACATACATACGTGACATTGACATAATCGCAGTATTTTAGTATACGTAACCTAGTAAACGGTATAAGATCCGAAGTAACCTGCTTAATTCAAAATCTTCGGCTAAAGTCAAATCCAATAATTGATATTTGGTAGAATAGCATAGGAGCACAGTATATATCACTGTGTTGACCTATTTTGACGAAACAAACCATAACTTAGGATTTAAGCATTTTTATCAACGTCTTTTAGCAACGCTGTACCTAATCGAACTACACTGTAATACGTAACCGATTTCACGAAAAAATCCGTCACTATTTGGAGAGGGTATAAGAGCAATCATAAATGCTAACGACGGGAAGAATCTCCACGAGCGACGTGCAGGCTTTTGGCATGGTGTGATAAAAATGAAATTTTCTACAATAGACATAAGACACACAAAAAATATTACCATCCGACACCGGAGTTGTTGGTAATGACACGCAACACGTGTAGATAATTTTTTTCCAAGGAACCTTTATCTGTACTTATGCTTACATAATAACTTGGTCATTCGACTCAAGTGTAGAAAAAGTGAGCGCGATATTTAAGTTGCGATAATTTGATTATGTTAATAATATTAGCCTTCCCGCAAAACATTCATCATTGCGACCAGATAAGGGCTATATCTAAGCGAACGAGTTAACTACAAGCTCCAACGGATGGTACGACATACGCTACGAATGAACTCCAGGTGGCCAACACATCTGAAACAGCTGTCGATCAAAATGGACTGGGGTGTCATTAGCAAAGTGCAATAGCAAAAGGCGCATGTATGATGCAAACACCTGGCACACTACTATACTTGGCAACCTATAATGCCACGCAGAACCTTAACTTTGCACTCATTTATTTACCAGTCTACTAACAGAGTCGGTGACCAACAATATAGATTGTAGCCACGTACACGTCGTACAATTGTCTTGGCACTCGGTGGCATTTGTCTATTTTTTTTTTTTGCTAGTGCTGAGCGTTTTACAAAACCGTCAGGTAACATTTTTGTGTCATGCTATATATATATATATATATAGTAATTTGATGTCCGTACAGTCATGTTTATTATAGTTTACAGTTTGTAAATTTGTTGTTAGTATGATTTTGTGTTGGTGAGGCGGATTGGTTCCACAAATCAATATTCGAGTGCGAGAAATGCAGAAGGATTAGATTGTCTAAACGGATATGGGATGATGGTTGCCCGCCATTGCATGAAAAATTCGTATTTGTTCTTTAATGCTAAGATCTACCTATTGTACAGTAAGAAAGCTGAGAGTCTATAGAGTGCATAGCTGTGAGATACAAATGGCAAATACAACGCGATCTTTAAACAACGATCTTAGTATAATGGTTGTAATAATAAACAGTATAATAGTAACAGGCGTCATCGACGATGTGACAGGACACGTGTGTAATAATCACATTAAGCAATCGCAAGCCAATCTAAGACCACTGCTCATTCTTTAGTTGTCTGCTAACACGATATCGACGTAATACCGTGGCAAGGAACAATGAAAAACCTCACATCAGAACCTTTCTGTCACTTTGGCTAGTTAGTTGAAATAAACTGGAAGAACACGTTTTTGCTCAGTGACCGCCGCATAATCTGATAACGCTCCTAATCATCTATTGAGTTCTGTCATTCGATAGTTTATACGTTTGAGACGAAAACATTAGCCTCAATATTTCGAGGATAAAAAGACAAATATAGATCCGTTGTTAAGATGATAAAAAAAAAATGGAGAGATTAGTGGCCATTATGACTTCGTGGATTCTGCAAAGGCGGGTCCCGCTAAAGAACTGTGCAGTTTGCCATTTTGGATAATTTTTTACATCTCATTTGTATAATCGACCGGAACGATCTGCGCTGCTTCGTGAAGCACACCTCTCAGGAAATAAATATATATGTTTACATGTGGTATATGAACGGTTATTTTAAACAGTCGATGTTTATTCGTTCGACCTGGAACGCAAATTCAAACTGCAACTCGGCAGAAGTAACGTTTCGACCGATAGCGAAGTGCCTCTTTCTCTAGAAATATGTTTGCTTCATGTTAGCCAACATACGTGGATAGAACTATCAATTTTAGACCTTTAATCAAAATAAGAAAACACTTCAAATTATGGACGAGCGCCTAGAGAAATCGCTCCGCATCTGTCCATCAAGATCGTGCAGCTGAGTTTCTCGGGCGAGCAGGTGGCTCAAATAAACGTCTGTGTTAAAAACAAAACCGTTGATCTAACTTTTAGAAGACCAGTAGATTCATGATTTATTTCACTTCTATTAGGTAATTGCAGGAACATTTCGGTAATTATTTTAGCAAAATTAATGTACATAATTGTTAAGGTCCGCCTGTCCGAGCCCATAAAAACATGCTCGCAGACTGGCGATTTTTGCAACTGTTAGCGTTAAACGTAGTATCCTTTTGCCCTTTCCTTGGCCGCTACATATAGCCCGGTGATAATTAAAAAGGGGAGAGCAATTCTATCTTTTGTCCTTTGTTGCAATTGTTGTTGTCTTTGTCGTGCTTACCAGTTCCTCGTGTCTCAACTACATTCGGCATTCCTCCGTAACTAATTGGGCTAGAATCAATGAATGGGAGCAAATTCAGCATATCGTAATGACTGGCCTGAGTCCACTGGCTTCTGTGGCGCGAACGGACACATGCTATTGTCTACATAGCTCTGTCGCAATGAATGCAAAACGCTGGCCGACTACCTATGGGCTTGTTCGGCGATGTAAAGCTGCGGGGCTAAAACTGAAATGAGCTAACAAGGACACACTTCCTTGTGCTCCTATGGGGTTCTAGCGACGCCAATGCGACCCAGTGCACGCTGGTGACTTTGACTATTGAGGCCCTATGTTGTTCACTGCTTGTTAAATGCCCGCCCATGGCTTACTTTTTCATTGTGTCTGCGCATGTGTATGTATACAAAAGAGAAGACTCGTTTTGGCTAGACGGGTATCGTTACCATAGGCAACCTTCATCATTGTTGCTGCAACTATTGCTGTGAGATGACAGTTCTGCTGGTGGTTAGTCATCTTGGGCGTGGATTCGCGTGTGAGCAAAATGTGTGCGTCGATGGCATACGGATGGATATTCCTATAGGACAATGGATGCCGGGGGCATCTGGCAGAAGGAAGACTTGTTTGTGGGCAGATGCAGAAGCAGCATACTTAATGCCCTATTCGCTGCCATTCTTGTTGCTATATGTTTCGTCGCCTTACGATGAACCAGGTAATGGATGACCGATTGGATGAACAAGCAAACAGGGAGTATTGAATAGGAGCAGCTAAGTACACGACACAACCAGTTCAAATAATCATTTTACGAATTGAAGTAACAGCAAATTGCAGTTGATTGCTTTGAGTGTTTTGATATGAGTTGAGCGTTTTGCTCAATGAAACCAACGTGTGGAGTTCATAATTAAATGATCAGCGGATAGATAAGCTAATTTCAGTATAAGCGCCGAAGTATTATAGTTAATTAATAGAAACAAAAATGGTAGAGGTGTTCTTAGTTTAAGCTTGGGGCTGACTGGGAAGCTACACACATAAGTTTGCAGATGCGAACGGTGAGATACCAGAAGGTTGAATGCGATGATAGTTAACTAGGAAGAGAAGCTGAAGATCTGTTTGCCATGAAACAAAAAAGTTTCTCAGGTCACGACGGGATCTTTTGCAGGAAGAATACGATGTATTGAGCGCGTCTAATACGTCGTTTACTTAAAACTGAGAACGAATGCATAGATCCAAGTCAGTCAACAAAAAAATGTAACCTTCTGCTTATTCCTGCATTTGTTGCCAGGGCAACTCTAACAGATCTCCCTTTCCAACTCACCTGGCGGAAGCACTGAAATGGGACTCCAGTATTCTCGTTTACTGCTTGGTTTTCAATCGCAGGCGTCGTTCAGTTCTACTCGCACCCTTGAAGATGTATCGCCCTATTGTCAAGAGCCCGATTGACTATCGTATACAACTACATCAAATCGGAAACACGCCCACAACAATGTCCACAGGCTATTCACAACCCGTTGACCACTTAAGACCTCGCGATGAAAACTGTTAGCTAGGAAATCCTGCTTTATACCACTATTTATTTCTGTATAATTCTATATCCAAAGAAAGCACACGAGTAACAACAAGATGTACGCACACACACACAAAATAACATAAGCTCGATGAACAGATTGTAGCTTGTTCTGGATGCAGCAGCACCGATAAACAGGAGTTGTTTCTGAATTGTTCAAAGGGTCATTATAGCCTAAACCGTAGTGTAAGAGAATCCCGCTTGTACCACAACTTGCGAAACAAGCTCTTCAGAATCTTCTTCGTCTTGACTCAGCGCTTTCTGATACTACCCTATTCTGTCATCGGCAGCAGCGCTTAAGACAAGCAAACGACCTACCGATCAATGTTATTGTTTAGCTGATGCGACACATATGACGAGGCCATAAAAAAAACAAGGTGGCATCATTTGTCTCTATATTTTTGTCGTTTCTCGTGCAGACGTCTTCGTCGCCGCAGTGGTCTGCCTCAATTGGAGGCCGCATGCGACAATAAACCAGCACCTTGTTCGTTCCACGTTTGCGATCTGTTCCGCCGTCTGTTCTGCCGGTCGGTCGGGGAGCTCCGCTGGCACTGGTAGGAGAGGGCTACTCTTCAATAGATCTAAGTTAATGCTCCTGTGTGCGGCGAGCGACATTAGGGCCCTAGCCGTTCTCGTGGGTTTTACTTCTTGGCATTTGCCTCGCAGCGCTCACCACAGGCGCTGCCACAGCTCGATACGTCCATTTCGTCATTTTTGTGTCGCGTTTCGGGGGACGCGAGCTAAACGTACAACGGATGATTGACTGCTCGCGGCGGTGATTCGCCAACGGCGATGACAGCATCATGGCGTCCGCTGACGCGTCAGTTTTTTCGCGTCCACCTGCTGCACGAGGACAATGCAGTCTTTTCCTGCTCATTTTCTGTACATGACCAAATAGATCATTATAGCAGTGCCTGCCTGAGATAAGCATCAAGGGTGCCCGCGTCCGGGCCTTCTCTTAGGGGCGAGGGTAATAGCATTGTAAACATAGCTGTGTGTCTGTTTGTTTTTTTTCTTTCAGAGGGGGCCAGATACGATGCTTTGTTGAAAGGCCTCCTTTCCCGACAACAGCAGTATTGGAGTCTAAGTAGGACCTTTGGGCTTTTAGAGATTCTTAGTTGACTTTTCTAGCAATTAGCCACCCCGCATTTGAAATCTATGTGGTTAAAAGCAAATGCCATTCTTTTCTTTTGAAAGAGTCAGAACTCGTCGGGCTCTATGATTATTTTGTTCAAAATATAAGTAGCAGACAACGCTGTGTAGAGCCCGCCATTAGCAGTCGAGATTTGAAATTGCGCGCCAGAAATACTTCAGTTGTTCCTTAAGTCGTTGGCTTAATAGCATTAGGGCCAAAGGCAGTTGGCCGAGAGGGTGATGAAAACTTAAGGGGTGAGTGGCTCTGGATGCAGTAGTGATGTGACGTTACCCGCATCCTAATTGCTACTTCATGCGGCTTTGCTGCGCGAATGCTGTATAAGTCTACCAATGGCTATAATTGGGAAGTTACTTGGATTTAATTTGGATTAATTGGAGACCTGTGTGTCTACTTTCACTGTGAGTAATGTCATTATTGACCCTTAATCGAATAGCTCTATCGATTTCGGTACGCAAGGACGACGATCAAGCGGCTGTTAAGGAAGCTCATTTGCAGCTTAGGTATTTTGCCATTTTTACGCCCCTTTGTTTTGGTCTAAATTATCAAGCTAGATATGTTAGAAAGCATATCCAAGACTGTGACATATTCTGAGAGTAGAAATCGCTAAATGGATAGTTTTAATGGGCATCCACCACTATTGACAAGAGTGGCCTTCTAGGCCTTGTTCGCGTTTCTGAGAGGAAGTAAGCTTAGCAAAGCCTATAACATTTGCCACTTGACGGTTTCCTCAACTACCGATAACTTACTCTATTAAATGCGTTATTGCTGTTATCGAATACAATAAGAATAACACGAAATTTAATGGCCCGTTCTGTTTAAATGTATGCCTTACAAATACAAAAGCCCCTGCTAAAATGGTGTTTGAGGGAGACACCATATCTTAATATGTATATAGGGAGATTAGCTTTTAAAGGGGTGATCAAACCCACTAAATGAAGCAGTGGTCGATGATGTTAGAAGTGACGAGCTTTGTTTTATTGTTCAAAACTTAAATTTCCTATACAACAATTCAGCAGATACCATTTTCGGAATAATCTCATTGTGTGGGGAATAATGGATATGTTCAGATTTACGAGTGGGTAAAGTCTGCCCTTTCATTTAATATCGTTCAATCCGGTTGCCTAAAAGCAGTTGGTTATGGTTAAAGACATAGACATAAATGCGCAAAGCTAAAATCCTGCTTCTAATTAGCTACTATCAAACAATAAATTGACTAGCGAAGACTTGCAGAAGTTTTAGTTGTGGAAGCAAAGATGATACAGCTGAGTATCATGAAAAGAGTCGAGAAGTGGTCAATATTTTATTTGGGTTATTCTTTGGTATTACGACAGGTTCTCCAAAAAACTAAAACACACACTCAGTGCCGATAGGAACAAGTGATATATGTTTGCAAAGGAAAACCAAAAAGGTTTTCCTTACACGAAATTTTTCATTTGTCTTTATGAGGAAAGCGTTACGTCAGGCAATCGCAGTCCGACCGTATTCTCTTGTATTCGAATGCGTAGTAGCATCAAATATTGATGCATTAGTTGGTCTCACGGCTCGAACTATACTCTGCGGATCAGATTACGAGAATAGTTTACAAAATCTCCAATATCTTAAGTCAATTCTTTATTCTCTTTCGACACTATAAGGCGCGGGTTATGGCAAACCACCTCAATTTTAAGCACTGTGCTACCCGTGAGTAATCTAGAATACAAAAAAACTGAATACGTTTTTGGATTCTAATAAGAATTTCGATTGCGTTCAAAGTATTACCGTATGGTTTTCCGAAAGCGAAGATTGTTTTGAAACTCCGGCCATAAAGGGTAGTTTATGAATAATTTCAACTTAAAGCTAAAAAATTAGTTATAAATTAACATTCTTAGCAATTAACTTAATCTTACTACACGCACATGCGCTCATTGTTTTACTTGCCGTATGGCAGTGTGTTTAATACAAGGACATATAATACTTTTCGAAATGACACGTGTCAATTTTTTTTTTATAAATTTAAATTCTTGGCCGGAAACATGAATATAAATCAGGAAGAACTGCTTTGCTTACGCAGTTTTATAGAAATATTTTTCGGCGATCTGAATTTAATTGACATTCAAACATACTTTTCTGAAATTAAAAGCCTTTAATGAAGGCCATCTCGTTCAGTTTGACCCTTGCCAGTTATTCTTGAGTTCTTGAGAACAAGAACAGCAGTCGATGATGTGGTTTGACAACAAAGTGTGTACTTTCTGAGACGGTTTTAAGGGATTACAGATACGGGTAATAACCAAAGCTACCAGCTAAGGGATACCTAGTTTTCAAAACGGTGTTGGGTAGTAACGGTCTTACATGTGTAGCGGCAAATTTTGATGAATTGTTATTTTTATTCTAAAGTAAACTGAGTCATCATCGTAATTGAATTTAGATTTACAAAAAAATTATGTTCGAAAAATAACTGTTTTTTGTAAATACTATTCCATTTGAAAACAGACTCATAACTAAATAAACATGAATACTAAATCAATTAAAAGTTATAAACATATATTAAGATTGCTTATTTAAGCAGCTTGTTATATTGAAACTCTTATTTATACAAAGATTTATTCTGGTAGTGAATCTCTGTCCTGGAAATAATTACTCCCTCTTTCGGAGATAGAGTATGGAAAACATTCGTGTATAAAGTACTAAAAATAGGTTTTTTCCGCACAACAACTATAACCTAGTTAAGAATTTAAATTCCTGTTATTTTTTAAATAAGGGTTGTTTTCTTAATTTCAAGCCACTGGCAGTAGATTGCTATTGATGGAAGCAGAAACCAAATATCAACCCTGCAAAATGTATGTAGATAGGGAAAACCGTGTTTGGTAAATATTATCTGTATCGTTATCAACTGACCAATAAGTAAGTTAGCAATGTTAGCATTCTTACTGTAATCATGTAGTTCAATTTTTGTTAGTCATCGTCCTGTAACATATATTTATGTAGTTACTTAAGCGAAGTTCATGACCTAATGCCTTAGGAAACATGGTGTAGCTCCGTAGACAGAAATCTTAGTGCACAAACACCTTTCCACTTAGCAAAACATGTTAAAATGTGGGTGGCGCAAGAATTTCCCAAAAAATGGGTGCTATCAAATGTGGTGTGAGAAAATTGAACGGAGCTGAACGATGGGAAATGCGCCTTACAAGATGATGACCAGACCTTTGCTGAGATAATAATCGATTTTAGTATGTGAACTGAATAGGTCTAAAGATTTTACTATTTGATCGATTTGTAGTGTTGGGCATATTGAGCTTGAGGTAAATATCCCCTATAAACTAGTCAGTATGTCTGCCGAAGTAAGCAGTATCATAAACCTTAGCTCTTTACAATACGGAAAGATGATGAGGTATTTGATGAGGCGGAAGATTAATCAGTTTTCATCCGTCATAAAAAGATTCGCCTGATAGAACGTTCCGCTTTTGTTGCGATATGATTTGAAGAAAAGTAAGTGTTCATCAATGACGAATTATGGACTAGATTCGAATGTGTCAGTATTTGTCATAAAAATCGTTCGGCATTCATGCTGCAAGGATAACAGCAGGCCGTGTCCTATATGAAGTCGCTAAACACCTGGATAAAAATATTTCGTAAATGGAAGTCCTTTCGCACCCAACCACAGTGTATCGGATCAAGGATTTTCCAACAAAATCATAAGGAATACACCCAATCCTGGCTATTTCCTTCAAAGTGTTAATTTACCCTTATCTCTGATTTTATATTCTTTCATTGCATAAGAAAATTTACTCGTATATATATATATACTAATATATGTAGTTGATTAATGCAATTACATTAGTTTCACAAAGTTGAGTTGTTAAAACCGAATCGTTATTCAACGGCCAAGGTCTCAATAGAGGGCCATCTCGTAGTGGCTGGTGAAGTGCGTTTGTATGGAACACTGAAGGCTGTGGTCTTCTTATGCCCGTTAGTAATACGGGTCACGTCACAATAAAACAGAGTCGCACAGAGAAGGTATTTGATGTGAATGGACTATCTTAGTGAAATATTGACTCGTTATAATTTTTGATGACAGCATTTTACGGTGTCAGAAATGTCTATACGCTTCTTGAATTAAATCCATACCTGTCGCATAATATATGTTATTACCGGGTATGTCGGAAATTGACTTCAGCTAATGGCTAATAAAATAATGTCCCTTCCAGAAAAAATATTTCTATCAATATTGCTTTGGAGACATTAGTTGACAATGTCTTTTGGCAATCTAACAGGTAATAGTGATGCAAGTCAAGGCCTGGCCATTGGTTGGTTTCAGATTTTAAGCCTGCCTATAATAGATGAAGTAAAATTGTCCACATTTTCTACCTGTGCCAATCTTATTACATTTGGTCTTAGTCTGTTATTTGACGCAGGTTTTATCAATGTGAAGATAAGCGAAAATGGCTGTCTTTGTTGAAGGCCAACTTGTCTCGATTCCATGAAGAATACTTCTCAGGTTTGGCCTGAAACTAGCTCAAATCCAAGAAACGAATCGAAATTTTACTACATGAAGAAAAACGTGTGAGGGGATAGAAGCCCAGTGAAACCCTAAGTAGAAATGGATTCGTCGGAACCGACGATTATAAAAGATTAACATTTTTTGTTGATTTTTTCCTTGGACGCATTTCTTTAAAAGCAAAACAATCAAATGCTGTAATAATCTAAAACCTGTAGTTATTTTAAAAACGCGATAATTCTAACACCAACATAATATATAATACAGTATACATATAGTTCTGTAAATTTCTATTATGCGGTACGAATGGTGCTTCGGAAAAGTCATGCCGAGAAATTAATGCCTTAAGCGCCCATAGTTGTTGTAGGGTGTGAGTAAGAGACTGGCTTTGGTCTTATTTTTTGATAAGGTCCGAGTACATTCTTTTTGACCTTATTAAATGCACAAAACGTCGTATAGTGAATTTTCGGAAATGGCCTGATTCGAATATCTACGCGAAATTCTACAACTGGACCGTAGAAAATAGACCACAAAAATGCCGAATGGCATTTTGTGTCTCAGATTTTAAAAAGTAACTTCTACGCGTTTTAGAATTAGTTATTACCTTAGCGTCAAGGCTTTTGCTATGTTCAGATTGTTTTTCGCTTTTATACATTAAAAAAAAACGTTACTTTTTTCCAGGAGCAGAGGTAAAAGTTCTCAGGTGAGCGCTTCGATGACACCAATCAATCAATGTATCAATGGTACAGAAATTAGGAAACGGATCTACGTGCTAGTGAACCGTTGGAAGACGTCCATTTCGTTTGTGTGGAACGCTAGGTCTGTAATAGTTAGAAGTAAAAATGCAGTCGGCCAGGGAGCTACGGCAATCTCTAGCTGAGGCCAGGGACAACAAGACGCAAAAAGGACGCAGGGTACGTAGCGAAATTTTGCACAGACCAGCACGAATACAAATAAAGGTAATGAAAGCCTATTTCAATGTATCGAATGGGCTGCCTTATCTATTAGTACTGTGTAATCAAGCAGATTAACGATGAGCACAAAATGAATAAAAACTAGGTACAAGTATGTGTCTCCCTAATGTCACAGTTGTCACTTAAGGACAGGTGGGTAGACTAGGTTCAGAACCGAAAATTTGATATGCGCCAGGACTAAGGGCCGTCTGAAGCAGTGTTTAAAGGCAGTACCTGACGTGAAGTTCGAGACATTTATTAGACATAATAGCATTGATGTTTTCCCCACTGTATTTCACCTAGTCCATAGCTTGCAGTGGATAGTGACTTTCAATATATATGATTTTACTGTCATCCGAAAGGTACAGTTTCCATAGCGAATTCTTCTCTAGTTATTCGACTAGTGGGTTATTTTTAAATTCGCTAATAATTACTAGTCTGTGTAGATTGAAATATGTATTTATGTTCGAAGGAGTTTGTTAATCACCTGTTAAATACACTGCTATCCAAATTTCAGGACTCTTTGGAAAAATGTAGGAACCTGTTAAAACGTTCGATCCTTCAAGCAGAATTGGACGCGAATGGAGATATAAGTTCAGAGAGTCAGGGTGTGACTTGGGGAGGGGTCCTCGACCTCACGGGTGTCGTGCTCAGACAGATTCTTCAGAAAAGCCGAGGAAAAGAAACACCGGGTACGCGTGAGGAACGCGATGCAGCGGTTAACTTGCTTGATATGGTCGTCGGCCTAAGTATCCAAAGTAAGTTCGGATGTTTTCGGTGCTTTGACATTTTTTTTATCATTTTTTTTTTTTTTTTTTTTTTTTTTTGTCTAGCTTGCAAGCTTTAACCAACAGGCTTCCATCTTTGTGTTGCTTCCCGACGCCCTCAGTACTTCCCAGAGCTTAAATTGAAGTACTAAACAATGTGTTTCAGGCACTATTTTGTAACCATTACAGAAAACTAGCATAGTTTTGCAGTTGAGGTAGTATACCATTTTGTATTGTCTTTCACTTCGGAAATCTCTCGACATAACGGTCATGAAAATGGCGTGTAGTCAGTGGTGCCGTCAATAGTACTATTCTTTTTGGCTTTATCGATATGTGTTGGTATTTTTTTTTTATTCATTACTCTGGCTGCAATAGATGGTTTGGTATCCATCTATTCTATTAGATTTGTCTATTCTTTTGGCAGAGGGCGGACGCATCAAAGCAAGTGAGGTTGTCAAATTAATCATCTCCATGCTACGTGATGAGGAAAATCGACCTCTGGTTGGTCGGCAGTTTTTACGAATACTCAAGCAGCTGCTTAGAGCACCGCACCATCAGGCCAACCTTACTTTCGTATATTATAATGGTCTGATTAAAATTCACACGAGCTTCATCAAGTATGTGCATAGTTCTAAATCTAACGTATTTAACTTAATCATAGGTGTACTTTGTAAAGTGCCTAGACTTATCGATATTTGCTGTTTGTTGCAAATTATTGTACATAGGTCTCACAATATCCTATACAGTTCAATCATTAAATGAATAAGTTATTATAACAAAGTTGAGGTTATTGCCAAATGTAATATAGTTGAACCAGTTACTGAACACGTTTGAAAGGAACAAAAGACAATCAGATCACCTAATATTACATTTAAAAATTCACTTAACTTTTCAAAGTAGTAAATGAGCGCAAAAACCACAATCTGTTTACAGTTTGTAAGGGTACTAACGTTATATTAAATTTCAGCCAAACGACGGTGTTCAATCCTGCCGAAGTTGCAGAAATGCTTCATGCTTTAGTCAAAGCCGCAATCAACTTTTCTGAGGTCGATGTCGTTCTGTGCTCCTGTTTCCTGGAGAGGATTGTGAACAAATTGACGGTTAAGTGAGTGATATATTTCGATAATTTGAAATTGCCACTGTAGCACGAAAAGTAGCTGGAATTCTTTCCGACTTTTTTTCATTTTGCTTTTTGCTTGAACTCCGTATGAAAACCTATGAAAATAGTTATTTTGTTTGGACTCTTCGATTCTGCAGTTCTTTTGTAAAATATATATTAAACAATGGCCCATTAAAACTATGGCCCGTATGCTTTTCATAACATCGGCCAAATATGTTCGTGCCAGCCAATCCAGAAGAGGGTTTTGAACATTTCAGGTTCACGGCGTTCACCCATGATATATTTTAACGTAGCGGGACAGAATACTGACAATTGCTCGTACGGAATAGTTGTACTATCCTACGTAGCTTTCTTGGAGTGACATAGAAATTATAAATCCGCATGTAGCCCACGTTAAGCTCTATCATAAACCAGTCCTTATTTAAATTCTCTAATCAAAACTCATATTGAATTATCTCAGTGTATCATCATTGTTTTATGTTTGGATGTGTTAACAGTGACGTATTTTTTTCGAGCGCACATGTGTGATTTTTAAATAAATTTGTCAGTAGCCGCATGTTTTCTAAAGGGACTGTGTTTGAAAACTCCAAACCCAACTACCAATTTCTTTTTGGTTACGTTTCAGTTATATA